CGCACCCAACCTCTGTTCTGGGGTCTTCCATGTGGGGTTATTAGCAAGAACCATTTGTTACTGTACTCTTTCTACTCCATTTTCCTCCCTGTCTTAAAGGTGGCTGGTGAGCGCTATGTGTACAAGTTCGTGTGTGAACCAGAAGCCCTCTTCTCCCTGGCTTTCCCCGACAATCAGCGCCCGTCCCTGAAGGCCGAATTCGAGTGGCACGTCAGCGAGGAGGACACTGTTCCTCTGTCCCACCTGGACGAGGGCATAGCCTATATGCAAGATCTCGGGGGGCAGCCGCCGTATGGGAAAGGCTACACCTATTAACTGCCGGCCGAAGAGACGGGTCAGATAATGGCCGAGTTGTACATATATGAAGACGCCTGTCGGTAATCACCAATGTAGAGTATTGCCTTGGCTTTCCTGACGCCGAACCCGGACTGTACAGTGGGCTGCCTTTTCGAGGGGAGGGCAGTACGGTTGCCCAGTACCCAGATCTGGATTCAAATCCTGCCTTAGCCGTGGACTCGCTGGGTGAACTTTGGGCGAGCTGCTTTCATTCCAGCCTCCGTTCCCAAGGACGAGCTTCCTACATCGCAGGGATGTTGTGAGGGCGGGGTCAAATAAAGATTGTAAAGTGCTTTGTACATTGTTTTTTGAAAATGCTATCTTGGTTGAGTAACAGCAAGTGTACTCAGCTTGAACCTGGGAGCGGCAAGATCTGCCTGATGAAATGAGAAGCAACCAAGCTAGGGGCTTTGAATCCGCAGATTCCAAATTTAAGCAGCTTCTCTGCGACTGAACGGGTATCTGTGCATGGTTCACAGGCTCTTTGAAGTCGTGGCGACTGGGAGAAAATTTGTGTGGCCTGGTTTTCTCCCTATCCTCCCTTGCGAATAAACATTGGGAACGTAAACACTGCAATTTTATTAATATTTAAGGGTCTTACCTTATTCCAGAAGGGGTCCTTGCTCTCAGTTTCATGCCACAATAACTACATTACTCAGGAGTAAGCCCTACTGAAATCAATGGGGATTCAGTACATGATTGCAGCCTGAAGTGGCTAGTTTTGAAGGTTACACAGAGGGCTGTTAAGAAGGGACCCCATAAATTTCTGGACCTGTGGGGAAAATATTATTCATCTCCCCCAATGAATTCATGCCTACATCTATTTATTTCCAGAATATGGATGAAAGTGGAGGGGATATTAAGTGAGCTAGGACCTAGGAGGCCACGGCTGAAATCAGCCATGGAACTCAATTGTGCGTCCTTGGGCCACTTACGGTCTCCCAGTCTAAGCCTATCATACAGGGTTGATGTGAGGAAAATATGAGGGGAAGGAGATCCAGGAACGCCGCCTTCAGCTCCTTGGAGGAATGGATAACATTATAATACAGTTTATATTAATAAACATCATAATAAATAAATATTATAATGAATGATAAAAGCCTTTCTCCAGCATGTCTGCCCCCAATTTTAAATGTGAGGAGAGGGAGCAGTTTTCAAATAATGAAAAAGCCTGACCTAAAGCCACAGAAAAGAAAGAATCTGGGATACATCCAGGCCTACAAACACTGGACTTATAAATAGGTTCTTGGCAAATTCGGTGTGGGTGTCTGCTGGGCTGGGTGTGCAAGCAGGGCGCAATCATGTCTGCTTAAAAACCTCCAAGGAAGGAGAATCCACGCTCCTATATTACATACAGGGATACGGGTGGCGCTGTGGGTTAAACCACAGAGCCTAGGACTTGCCGATCAGAAGGTCGTTGGTTCGAATCCCCGTGACGGGGTGAGCTCCCATTTCTCGGTCCCAGCTCCTGCCAACCTAGCAGTTGGAAAGCACGTCAAAGTGCAAGTAGATAAATAGGTACCGCTCTGCCGGGAAGGTAAATGGCATTTCCGTGCGCTGCTCTGGTTCGCCAGAAGCGGCTTAGTCATGCTGGCCACATGACCCGGAAGCTGTACGCCGGCTCCTTCGGCCAATAAAGTGAGATGAGCGCAGCAACCCCAGAGTCGGTCACGGCTGGACCTAACGGTCAGAGGTCCCTTTACCTTTTATATTACATACGGGTTTTACACACAAAAGCTCTCCTCTGCAGCATCCTGCTTTTTTTGTAACGGAAGTTTGCAAAGTGTCCAATAGTTGTCTTCTCCTTACAAGGAGACCCTAGTGCCTTTTTAAGTAAAACAATGGAAAGGACAATACTAGCACCCTAAGGACTTGACAAATTACGGTGTGAGCGGAGTTTGCTTCACCAGATGCCTCATTCTTGGTAATCCACAAAAAAAACTTGTGCAATAATATATTTGCAAGCTTTTAAAGTGCTACTGGACTTAGGGCTGCAGGCAAGACCCCTCTGCTGTCCAAAATTTTCCTGCTCACCCTGATGCTTCCTAGGGGGTCTCCTCTCTCTCCATCAGGGCCGGATTTAGGTTTGATGAGGCCCTAAGCTACTGAATATAATGGGACCCTTTATATGTCCAGCTGTCCCTTGTCAACAACAAATTGTCGCTGTTTCTTGTGTAGAATATATGCTATATAGCAATTTATGGACCCTAATAGGTTTCTAAAGCCATTTACACATGCAGAATGTAGGCACCCTATATATAGAAATGAGCAAACCAGTGATATTTTAGGGAGCAGGCTAGCAGGTGGGGCCCATGACTTACATCATAGGAGCCTACGTAACACAAAATACTGTTGCTGTATGTACACAGACCCTGTTTCCTTTTCTTTTAGGGAGAATTTGGTAAAACAAAACGTAAGCCCCCTTGCACGGAAATCATAGCAAAGGCCCATCTAGCCAACCAGATGTCTCCATAAAAGCCCACAGCCCCCTCCTGTTGTTTGTCTTCTTGCTGGAGGAATTCAGTAGTAGACTGCCTCTGAACCTGGAGGCTCTATACAGCTGTTGATAATTGCCATAGATATCCTCTTCCTCCTCGTCTCCATGAATTTGCACTATCCCCTTTCTGCCCCTCCAAGTGACTCGTCCTCGGCACATCTTGTGTGTGTGAGATAAATTAATTCCATGTTCCCACAGTCTCTGCTTAATCTTCCCCATCAATGATATTGGATGACCCAAAGTTCCTGTATTAGATGAAAGCAGAGAGCTGTTTATGCCTCCAAGCACCTGGGGATCTCAGGGTATAATCTGAATCTGTATGTTGGGTTGCCTAAATGGTTGATTGGGGGGGGGGGAGATACCTCCCCCCCAAATAGTGATTTTAAGTTTTTGGATCTGTTTCTGCTGCTTTTTCCATCACAATGCCATTCATCCGGGTTTTCTCTGACATTTTGCTGATTTGACAAAGTTCCCCCCTGACGTCATTTTTACACCCGAAAACCAGGACGTGTCAGGAATTTTGCTGACGTATGGCAAGCCTGTATATATGAGGCTACCACTTTGCTGAAGGTAAGCAAGTTTATTGACCATTCATCCCGAATTGCTTACACTAAACTTACACAGAGCTTAGACTATGTCTGGTCTTTACTGAGCATTCCTTTTTATTTGTGGATAAGTTACACAACAATAAGCGTTCCTCCCGATCCGGGGTGTTTATTTGTCTTTTGGTTAATCAGTTGCTCATCCCACACACTTCAACACATTTTCCCATCCCTTTCCAAACCACAAAAGTCTGATGATGATTATTTTTAGTGACTTTGTTGCTTTAGAGTGACAGAGCCCTTGAAGCCATTCCAAATGCACAAACTTAAATTTCTGGTATGTGCTAAAATTCCACCTGCCCCCCCCCCCAACAAGCAAGCAAGCAAAAACCACTGAGAGTTTTTAGACCACCTGGGTCTGGTCAGTGCTTAGATGGATGATCCTGAAAAACACATCTATGATGCTTTGGGTTCCATGATGGGAGAAAGATCAACATCCTATCCAGCGGTTCTCAACCTGTGGGTCCCCAGATGTTGTTGAACTACAACACCCATCACCCCTAGCTAGCAAGGCCAGAGCTCAGGGATTATGGGAGTTGTAGTCCAACAACATCTGGGGACCCACAGGTTGAAAACTGGACCTATACCCTTTTAAAATGTGGCTCTTTTGGGGGCGGGTGTATTATTGGTTTATTGTTTTTATATATTGTGATCTTGATCTTTTTTGTGAACCGCCCTGAGACCTCTGGGTACAGGGCGGTATATAAATTCAACAAACAAGCAAAACAAAGATGAGTTACAAATGTAAAGGAATGAAAGGTGTGTGTGGGGAAATAAATGCACAAATAACTTTACAGCTGCACAATTGGTGCAAATTCAGCTGGTGTGCAATTGACCGGCTGCGTATGGATGCTTCGCCTGATGAATTTCTGCCTGTCCTGGGTGTTGGAATAAACAGGCGGCAACCCAAAACTTTTTGGGTTGTGGGAGTGGGAAGGGAACACTTTTGTTGCTTCCCGCTGTGACAAGAAGCCGGGGTTACCGATGTGCTGCAGCCAATGCTGGATTTACGTATAAGCTAAACAAGCTATAACTTCGGACCCCACTCTCTTGGGGGCCCCAAAAAAATTTAAAGGAAAAAAAACTGGATGTACATTTCCAAAATATAAGAGAAAAAACAAATAAAATAAAACCCACATACAGTGTTTTGTGTTGTGTAGGCTCCTATGATGTAAGTCATGAGCCCCGCTTGCTAGCCTGCTCCCTAAAATATCACTTGTTTGCTCATTTCTATATATAGGGTGCCTACATTTTGCATGGACTGGTTGCCTATTACGTCCATGAATTACCATCTAGCATATATTCAACACAAAAAAAGCTACAATTTGTTGTTGACAAAGGACAACTGGACATATAAAGGGCCCCATTACCTTCAGTAGCTTAGGGCCTCATCAAACCTAAATCCGGCCCTGGCTGCAGCGCTGCCCAGGTGCGAGGAGGAAAAGCCAGGAACCTTCTGTCCCGTGTGTCAGTTCCAGGCCGGAAGACTTTGGGAAACGGGCCTCGGCGGGAGCGAAGCCTCGACGGACCGCAGCGTCGGGCAGGGAAGCCCGCCCGCGTTGCCCGTACTTCCGCCCTGCAGCAAGATGGCGGCGGGCAGCGGGGGTTCCGGGCACCGTCGGCGGCGCGGGGCGCTGCGGCTGCTGATGCGGGTGGGCTCGGTGCTGCTCACGCGCTTCCCGTTCTGGCACTGCCTCAGCGGCCTCCTGCTCAACGCCGAGCGCGCCGACGCCCGCCGGTGAGCCCGCGCGGCCGGGAAAGTGGTGGTGGTGGGGAGCGCGGTGGCGGCGTCGAGGGCGCTTCTGAGCATGTGCAGAGGGCTTTCTGCGCCTTGACTCCCCGGCGGGTTGTGGGGTCGGGGAAGGAATCCAGTATTTGCTTTTAGGAGGTCGTGAGCTAAGGGGGCTTGTGGGGTGGGGAAAGCAGAAGGGTGGGGAGCCCTCCAGGGCCTTCACAGAGAGGGGTGCGGTGGGGGAAGAACCACAGAATTGTAAAGTTGGAATTAATTATTATTATTATTAATATTATTCTGTGAACCGTCCTGAGCCCTCCCGCTATAGGACGGCATATAACTTCAATAAATATTATTACTATTATTATTACTATTATTATTATTTGAACGATCCTTATTCTGTGAACCATTCTGAGACCTCCCGGTATAGGGTGGTACAGTGGACGCTCAGGTTGCGAACGTGATCCGTGCGGGAGGCACGTTCGCACCCCTCAGCGTTCGCAACTTGCAGCACCGCATCTGTGCATGGGCGGGTTGCGATTCGGCGCTTCTGCATATGCACAAAGTGCAATTTAGCACTTCTGCGCATGCGCGACTGCTGAAACCCGGAAGTAACCCGTTCCGGTACTTCCGGGTTTCAGCGCGTCCATAACCCGAAAAAAGGCAACCTGAAGCGTCTGTAACCCGAGGTATGACTGTATATAAATTCAATAAATATTATTATTTTATTATTGCTATTAGTAGTAGTAGTAATACCCTGCCCATCTGTGTGGCTTCCAGCATAATGTTATAGAACTGTCTGTGTGTCTTCCTAAACACCAAAATTAACAAATGCCAGAGTTTTGGGCTATTTGTGATAGGAAAGGAGAATATAAGCTGCAAAGGAATTCCTGGGTAGCCTGGCCAAGCCAGGGCCGTTAAGAGAGCCATTGTGGGTCGTTATGATAACGTAATAACATAATAAACCATTAAAGATTGAGAAGCTTCTGTATGCAGGGCTAAAGGTTATATGGTTACTCCCAGGGGTCCTCTCATTTAACTAACCTCTTGCAATGCAGGAATCTCCATTGAAGCATCTATTCCGCCTTAGTCGGACCACACCTGGAATACTTGTGCCCAGTTCTGGCAATTTAAAAAGGGTGTTGACAAGCTGATACAGGGTCTGGAAAGCAAGACTTATGAGGAACGCTTGAGGGAGCTGAGTATGTCCAAAAAAGAGATAGAGGAGATTTGATAGCCATCTTCAAATATCTAAAGGGCTGTCACATGGAGGACAGAGCAAGCTTGTTTTCTCCTGCTCTGGAAGCTAGGACCGGATGCTTCAGAGATTGCAGGTTGCCTGGAGATGAGTCATAGTTGCCACAGGCAACCATGCCAGTGGCTGTTTACAAGCCTGCAGGATGGATACCTGAACATAGCTTCCCAAGTGTATTGGCAAATGCATTTGTTTCTTGTCATGCCTTCAGATGGGAAGAGAGGTGGTGGAAAACTCTGGGAAAAGGAAGTAAAAGAACATGGATGTTTATATGGCTAACTATAATTGGGGTAGAAACCTAGGGCTGCTGCTAGTATAGGTAAAGGTAAAGGGACCCCTGACCATTAGGTCCAGTCGTGGCCGACTCTGGGGTTGCGGCGCTCATCTTGCTCTATAGGCCGAGGGAGCCGGCGTTTGTCCGCAGATAGCTTCCGGGTCATGTGGCCAGCATGACTAAGCCGCTTCTGGCGAACCAGAGCAGCGCACGGAAACGCCATTTACCTTCCCGCTGGAGCGGTACCTATTTATCTACTTGCACTTTGATGTGCTTTTGAACTGCTAGGTTGGCAGGAACAGGGACCGAGTAACGGGAGCTCACCCCGTTGTGGGGATTTAAACCGCCAACCTTCTGATCTAGAGTCCTAGGCTCTGTGGTTTAACCCAAGTGCCACCTGTGTCCCGTGCTGCTAGTATACCGACTTACTAAAACACACACACACACAAACACATCCCCCCAAGTCCAGACTTTCAAAATAACATATCGTGGCAATGAGTTCCATAGCACTTCTAACAGTCTGTGCTTGAAATTGAATTTCCCGTGGTTTCAAAATGTTGCATTTAGCAACGCTAATTAAATCTGTGTAGCTTTGCAGCAGTTCGTACATCACGAAAAAACATTCCATAGCTGGGTCATTTCGGGGTGGAATGATTCCTCCTGGGTCATTTTGGGGTGGAATGATTCCTCCTTGGGGATTTAGTTCTTTAAAAAACAACAACCATAGCCCTATTTTTCTCTTTCCTTTCTCCTTGTGCTGTATTTGTTTCTTCTGGGTGCCTTTGATGACTAATGTTCTACATTTTATTTCCTTGCCCAGAAAACCAGACATCCCTGTTCCATTTCTCTACTTCGACATGGGCATGGCGGTGCTGTGTGCTAGCTTCATGTCCTTTGGGGTGAAACGCAGGTGGTTTGCCCTGGGGGCTGCCCTTCAGTTGGCTATCAGCACATATGCGGCGTACATTGGAGGCTATGCGCACTATGGAGACTGGCTGAAGGTGAGATAGAAGAGAGAGAGAGAGTCTTTGGCTCATTGTCTTCTCAAAAGCTGCAGTTGGACTGTACTAGATTGCAGCTGAGTAGAAGAGCGCTTGCTCTGTGTACAAAACGTCCTCAGGTTCAGTCCCCAGCTTGGGAACCACCAAGGGAAGAAGGCTTAGAGCCTGGGGGTAGTGGTGGGACAATGAAGAGGGAGAAGACTGGGAGGAGGAGGTGTCAGAAGCTTGAAGAGGTAACAGGGTTTAGTGAGCGGGAAGAATCTGTGGCAGAGAGAAGTCCAGAATCGGAGGCAGAAGCTGAAACAGAAGAGTGGGATGAGGGAGGCCAAGAGGCAGAGATGAGTCAGGCTAGTGAAGAGTCACAAGTGTCTCCCCCTCTTGCTGTGACAAGCTCCCCTTCTCTCTGATCTCCCAGAACCAGAAGAGGCATGAAGAGGGTGGCGCAAAGACGCGCATGCAGGTGCAGTCTCTGATTGCTTAGGCAGCGGTTCTCAACCTGTGGGTCCCCAGATGTTGTTGGACTACAATAGCCTTGTTAGCTAGGGGTGATGGGAGTTGTAGTTCAACAACATCTGGGGACCCACAGGTTGAGAAAGGCTGACTTAGAGCATCGTCTCCAATAGCTTATGATGAAGGGAACCAAACCCTGGTGTTTGCCCTGAGCGTCAAGTGGTCAGAGGCATACAGCTAAACCCCAGTTGTCGAACGTAATCCATTCTGGAAGATCATTCAACTTCCAAAACGTTTGACAACCGAGGCATGGCTTCTGATTGGTTGCAAGAGCTGCTTGGACTTAAGTGGAAGTCGTGTCGGATGTTTGGGTTCCAAAAAACGTTCAAAAACTGGAGCATTTCCTTCCGAGTTTTTGGTGTTCGGGAGCCGAAATGTTCGAAAACGGAGCTGTTCGAGAACTGAGGTTTGACTGTAGTTTGTCTGTATATGGACCTGCCCTACATGTGTGTATAATCCTTTATATGCTATTGAAGCTATCCTGCATGAATCCCAGATATTGTTTATGCATTTATATCAACTGCCCACTTTTTTAAAATCCCCAACTCTTAAATCTTTGGAGCAAAAGTGATCCCCACTGCTTGCTTTCTACACTCATGTTGCTCTTTGGTCACCTCCCTTTCCAGCCCTAACACCCCCCCCCAAAAAAAAAATATGCTTAAAGCTTTCTTTGCAATAAAGGACAATGGTGAGATTAGATGTGTCTTTGCTTCCTGAAGGACATCAGAGCAGTCGGCGGATAGATGGTTTCTCTGTTGACTGGATTTAGCTTGCAGGCTGATAGTTGCCTCCCGGCGTAAGGCTGTGGCACTGAGCTTTCCTCTGAACAGATCTTCAGGTTTGCCTGAGACTGAGGATCTGCCAGAGGTGAGCAATGTGAGATGCTTTAGTTTGTGCCCATAAGCGCTGAGGGATAAAGAATGGTTGTCTTCTAAAGTGCTTTTAGAGTAAGTACGGAATTAATTTTTTTATGCTGGTGTTACTCTACAGGGTATCTGCTCTGAGCCTGTGTGGATTAGGCGTTGGTTGTGAATCTAAGTGAGATAGCAAATTGGTCAATGACACCTTTAATTTTCACCCCGTTTCTGCTTTCTGTCTAGCCCTTCTGGTATCAGACCCTGGATCACTTCAGAAGTACAGATCTTGGCTTAATACACCAACATGTTCACAAACCTTGTGCCTGTCTGCTTTGTCCTCACCTTTCCCTTCAAGATCAACCCAGGAAGTCTTCCATTAACCCACATTTCCCGTTAATGTACAAACCATTGTTTAAGATCATGGCTCATTCTGAACCCGGCAACCATAGTTTTGTGGTTTGTGGATGTATCAGAAAACTAATGGAAGACTTCCTGGATTAGTCTCAGCGGTGTTGGGGGCTGCGTAAGGCTGGAATGCACATATGCAAGGATTCTTCATGTTTATTAAGCTGGGATTTGTAGGTCTGAACAAGGCATTTAACTGTAATCTTCCAAAAATGGTCTGTGCTAGACCAGAGTAGAAGAATTCTCTCTTGCAAAAATAGCAGTGTGGATGCTTGGGAATTTGGGTGCAAATGTTTGCAGCTCATATGATACAGTAAACCAGCGTATCTTTGGTTATTGTGGATTCAAGGTGTTTGGTTTGCTTTCCGTTAACTTGCCTGCCTTGTCTTTTGGCGCAGGTGAGGATGTATTCCCGAACGATAGCCATCATTGGTGGTCTCTTGGTCTTGGCAAGCGGGGCCGGCGAGATCTACCGGCAGAAACCGCGAAACAGGTCCCTGCAGTCCACAGGGCAGGTTTTCATCGGCATCTACCTCATCTGTGTGGTACGTATGCTGTCAAATCCCAGAATGGTCAAATCCCAAATGTTTGGAACCCTAGATGTTGCTGGACCACAACTCCCATCACCCTCACTTCTGTTGCTTGTCTCCCTTTCCTCTTCCAGGCCTACTCTCTCCAGCACAGCAAGGAAGACCGCCTGGCCTATCTCAGTGGCGTCCCAGGTGGAGAAATTGCCTTACAGCTCCTCTTTGTCCTCTACGGGGTGCTGGCACTGTCCTTCCTGTCTGGCTACTACATCACCGCAGCCGCTCAGATCCTGTCGGTCATCCTCCCTCTGGTCATCCTCTTCATCGACGGCAACTTGGGTTACTGGCACGATTCCCGCCGAGTCGAATTCTGGAATCAAATGAAGCTGGTTGGGCAGAACGTTGGGATCTTCGGGGCCGCCATAATTTTGGCCACAGATGGCTGACATTAGACTCTCTGAGACACTGAAGCACGGTGCTTTGAAGTGGGAGTGGGGTGCATATTGCAGAGGACGGAGACTCTCCCTCTTTTTTATTATTTATTTTTTTATCATTTTACTGCATCTTTAAAAAAAACAAAACCACCCGTTCCTTGCTATTGGCAGCTAAACGAACAAGCCATTCCTATATTGTTATTTTCATTTCAAAGGACACCTTAGCAGCTTCCTCCTCCACATGTTGTAGTAATTGTGAGAGTCTCTAGTGGGCTCAGGCTGCATCAGTGAAGCTTTTGGGCTGTCATCTCATTTCAGCGGGGAAGGGGTGAATCTTTGCTTCCATGCTGGCCAATAGGTTAAAGATAACTTTGCAAAGGTCGCTGTGACCTTGGGTGCGCCGGTTCTGGATCCCAACCCTGGGGTTTGGGTAGCCAAAGACACAGAGATCATTCGACTCATCTTTGCTTTGTATGCAGATGGTGGAGGCCGTTGTGGAACATGCATTTCCTTCTAACAAGCAGGTCAGGGCTTTTGAAAGGTTCTCAGAAGTTCATGCGAACCACAGACTCCCTCTTAGATGGGCTGGCTTCCTCTTCGCCTGTACCAAAGCTTTTGCAAAGCTCCCTGGACACATATGAAGTGCCACCTACAACCAGTTAGGCAAAACTGTTCCATTTGGAACGTAGCAAATGTCTCCCTGCCGCCATTCTTGCGCAGTACAGAGTGGATACAGCTTTTGTGCACACAGGGCGTAGCTGATTAAACGGGATGGCAAACTCTTGGTGTCATCCTTGCACGATGGGAAAAGAAGAGCTAATCCAGCGCTACCTTTTACCTAACTCGGGAGTCTTGGAGGCTGCTCTCAAAATGTTTGGTGGATGGGATTGGGTTGTTGGGGAAGAGAAGCCTGAAGCTCATTGCCCCTCACCCCTGGAAGGGGCAAGCTCAGACTTGACAATATTGGACTAGGTGGGCTGCCTAATGACCCAAGGCAGCTTTCAAGAGCTCAGAAACTCCTGCTACTTCCATCCCCCAGCATTGAGCAGGATTTGTTCTGGAATAATTTATTCCAGGCCTGGGGATGCTGAGGCCCTCCAGATTTTGCTGGACTACAACACCCATCATCCTTGACCATTGGACACACTTGCCAGGGCCAGTGGCAGTTGGGTTTCATCTGGGGGGCCACTCCAGCATAACTTGGGAAAGGCAGAGGACGGTTCTCTCACCATGAGGAAGTGGGGTACCTTAATTTCCCAGCTGGCTATATACAAACACGAGCTCTTTCTATATCTGCAAGATCATGCTTGGCACATTTTATTTATTACTTCTGAACTCAAAGGCGACACTGAGAACAGAATCATTGCTCCATAGTATTGGCATCTCTCCGGATTCCCAAGTTTGTTTTCTCTTTTGGAAAGAATGAGGGGGTGGGGAAGGGGATTCTCAGCATGTTCATAAATCTTTAAAACCTAGCATAATCAGCTAAAATGGCACGTGTGCTGAAACACATTGAATTGTGCTGTTATAGGGGCAGGAAGCTGCTTTTGGGGTGTGTGTGGAGGCGACCTACCACCAGAACACACATTTAATCTCCCCCTGTACCTGATCAGGTTTCTCTTTGTTGACCCCAGTGCGTAAGCTTTCTGCAGTTTAATCTGCATACATGCAGTTTCTACAATGGGGATTGCACTTCAGGGAAGAGTGTGCATGAAGGGGAAACAAGAAAACCCTTGTCGGAATTGAACATCCCCTTGGAATTTGGTGTGTATGTTGAGGAGGGTGGGATGTTTGTGTTTGGCTGGGGCTAGCCAGGGGTTTAAAATGCTGCCCAGCAATCGCTCCTGGGAAACAGCAGCCACACCATCTGTTTGGATGGAATGGTGTGTGTTTGCTTTTTAAAAAGTGTGTTCTTCCATTTCGGTCGTATCCAAAGCACTCCTGTGGAGGCACTTTGGAGCTGATTGGGCTCTCTTTTCTAGGCTCAAAGGCCATTGAAACACGGTTGACCATACACTGCATTCCCCCTTTCCCTTATCAGCAGATATCGCTGATGGCTGCGTCTTCCTTTTGGCTTTTTCTAAACCACACTGTGTTTATGGAGGATCAAGAAGAAAATAAAACACTTTTTCCAGTCTCCCATTTTTTATCTTTCCGTGCCTGTCCTTTCCACTGCTTCCAAACACTCGTCGGTCTTTGAACTTCCAAACAATCCAAGTTTTAGCAGGGCTGCGTGGACCACGAAGGTTTCGGTTATGCGGTGCCTGACGCCCCAGGCAGAAACTGGCAGCTGTACAAAGCTCAGCATTTGTGCATCGTCATGTCATGCTAGCATCTTAGGCATTTAAGGTAAAGGTAAAGGGACCCCTGACCTTTAGGTCCAGTCGCGGCCGACTCTGGGGTTGTGGCGCTCATCTCACTTTACTGGCCGAGGGAGCAGGCGTACAGCTTCCGGGTCACGTGGCCAGCATGACTAAGCCGCTTCTGGCAAACCAGAGCAGCACACGGAAATGCTGTTTACCTTCCCACCGGAGCGATACCTATTTATCTACTTGCACTTTGACGTGCTTTCGAACTGCTACGTTGGCAGGAGCAGGGACCGAGCCACGGGAGCTCACCCCGTCACGGGGATTCAAACCGCCGACCTGATCGGTAAGCCCTAGGCTCTGTGGTTTAACCCAAGCGCCACCCGCGTCCCTTAGGCATTTAGGACGCTGCCTTATATCAAGTCAGATCATTGGTCGCTCTAGCTCACCTGCACTGACTGGCTGCAGCTCGCCAGGGTTTCTGGCAGGGCATCTTCTCCAACAGCCTGCTACTGGTGCCTAAAGGTGTATAATGAAGGCGCCAGGCGAACTTCCCTGGGGAGAGCGATAAAATGATAAAACAAACACTAAAAACTTCCCTAAACAGTTCCCTAAGGAACTGGCAGAAAGAATTCCATGATTATTTGTTATTTCTATACCGCCCTTCATCAAAAGATCCCAGGGCATATGATGGAATAAAACAAGATAAAATGCAAGTACAGTGGTATCTCGGGTTAAGTACTTAATTCGTTCTGGAGGTCCATTCTTAACTTGAAACTGTTCTTAACCTGAAGCACCACTTTAGCTAACGGGGCCTCCTGCTGCTGTGCCGCCGGAGCACGATTTCTGTTCTAATCCTGAAGCAAAGTTCTTAACCTGAAGCACTATTTCTGGGTTAGCGGAGTCTGTAATCTGAAGTGTATGTAACCTGAGGTACCACTGTAAATAATTAAACCAAAATAATAACCCCACTTCCCGCCGCCTGATATTATCTCTTTAGATGTTTCAACTAAAAAATGCATTTCTGGCTGCTTGGTCCGTCTTGAAATACAAGTGTGGTGACCAGGAATTGGCACTAGGTGGTCCCCTCTACTAATCTATACCAGATTTTTATTTATTTTTACAGCTCTGGGTGTGCGCAAAGGGGAAGATTGCATTGAATGCATGCCCAGTTCAGTTCAATAAAGCGTTCTCACTGCTAAATGCAGTATTTCCACTGCTTATCCTTTCTAAACAATATTTTAAAATGTGCAAGTTCAAATATCAGGGCAGACAGGATATATAAGCATTTAAAATAAGAGGATCCAAATATTCCTGGAAGTCTGATACTACTATGTCTCCAGAATAATTTCCTAGCCTGTACTTGTGCTTGTCTAGTATTCTGCATCTCTTCAGAGGCAACGCAGCTTCACATCTTTGCTGGACCGAGCAAACCAAATATTGGGGAAAAGAAGACTTGTGCTGGGGCTAAGCCAAGGAAGGCTGGGAAAGAGCCCTGCTTTTTGCCACTATGACTTCTCTGCTCAGTTTCTCCAGGGAGCAACAAGCAGTCATGAAGAAAATAAGCTAGATAATGGTCTGACTCTGCATAAAGGACCTTCCTATGGCACCTATTGGTACAAGAATCCTGCATCAGGTCATTTCTCAGGGACTGAAGAATGTGTATCTATATCCTAAGCTCATTTCTCCACATTGTCACATCGGTTTGTAGAGGTTTTTTTTATAGAGTCCTCATGAAAATTCATTGGTATTTCAGCAGAATTGAATTTTCTTCTAATTTTTGCATGCATTTTTTTCCAAAACAATGTTCCCTAATGTAATGCATTTTCATAGGTTTTAATTAATACAAGTTGTTTTTAATTAATATATACACTTTACCCCATGCTCCAAAGCCGCGCGGAGGGAGGAGGAGTTCCCGCCCCCCCGCCCGGCTTCGGAGCGATGCTCCAAAGCCGCACGGAGGGAGGCAGCGTTCCGGTCCCCCCGCCCGGCTTCGGTGCGATGCTCCAAAGCCGCGCGGAGGGAGGAGGAGTTCCCGCCCCCCCGCCCGGCTTCGGTGCGATGCTCCAAAGCCGCGCGGAGGGAGGCAGCGTTCCGGTCCCCCCGCCCGGCTTCGGTGCGATGCTCCAAAGCCGCGCGGAGGGAGGAGGAGTTCCCGCCCCCGCCCGGCTTCGGTGCGATGCTCCAAAGCCGCGCGGAGGGAGGCAGCGTTCCCGCCCCCCCGCCCGGCTTCGGTGCGATGCTCCAAAGCCGCGCGGAGGGAGGAGGAGTTCCCGCCCCCCCGCCCGGCTTCGGTGCGATGCTCCAAAGCCGCGCGGAGGGAGGCAGCGTTCCCGCCCCCCCGCCCGGCTTCGGTGCGATGCTCCAAAGCCGCGCGGAGGGAGGAGGAGTTCCCGCCCCCCCGCCCGGCTTCAGAGCATCGTTCCGAAGCCGGGCGGCAGGAGGAGGTCCGAGGACAGTGGGGAAGTCGCGCTTCCCCGCTGTCCGGGAGATTTCCCTATGGGCTGTCGTCTTGCGAAGCAAGCCCATAGGGAAATTCGTTTTGCGAAGCGCCTCCAAATCGGAAAACCCTTTCGTCTAGCGGGTTTTCTGTCTTGCGAGGCGTTCGTCTTGCGGGGTACCACTGTATATGCTTTCCCTCCCTTAGTATACATCACTGGGCTGGAAAACTGCATTGCAAAATTCAGAGAAGTGTGGTTTTCAAAGGGTGGCTGTGTTTCAATTCACTTATTTTGTTTTTGAAAGTGTGAATTAGGTTTGCCTTGAAATGTGAGTGGAAATAAAGGTCTTCCTCACCCCTATTTGCTGCGTTCCCATCCCGGTTAAATACGTCCAAATGAACGCTGTGAAATTGAGACATCGGCTACTACAAACCAAAGCAATCTATGGTATAGCATTGTCCTCTGGCTCCTTAATGTCTATTATGGCACACAGGCTTTTATTATATCCACATCTTCGCATTGCTCTAAATGGTTCTTCTCTTAGTTTTCCAGAGCTTTGTCAAGATGTAATAACTGAGCTGCCTGGTGCAGGCAGGGCTGGGAGAATAGGGGAGTGTGGGCCGTTTTTTTGTTTCTGTCAGTTACAGGATAAATTGATGGCGTTAACCAGCATGGAAACAATGACTAATCCAGGATAAAAACCAAAGGCAGTGTGTCCTCTTTGTCAAGAACAAAGCAGCCTGTTTCAAACATGCGTCGTGAGGTAAGCATCAAACAATGGCTTCTGTGGCATTCTGGGTAACACAGTCTTGTCCCGTAGTTCATTTTTGACAGGTCCCTTTCACCGTTTTGGGTGGTGAGGTTTTGTTTGTTTTTGTCACAGTGTTCCTTGCATCAATATGCTGGGTGGAAAATGGACAGATCCAAGAACTGGGTTGTGTTTTTTTTAAGGGGTGTGAAAAGGAGTATGGCTGGATAGCGACTATATAGAGTAAGCATAGTCGGAGCAATTGAGTGCTTTGTTTTTAAGACCACCGAAGGAATTTGGAGAAGTGCTACAAACGTGGTTTCTAGACCTTCCTTCAGTCCGTGGAGCGAGCAAGAGAAATAACTTGGCCCAATTTGCCCAGTTATTTGACTCTCCAGATGTTTCTGAACTACAACTCCCATCAGGCCTAGCAAGCATCTTCTTTCCTCTTCTTCTTTGGCAATCACTCGTAGCGAGTAAGATTGTCTTCCATAAATACTGTTTTAAAAGTGAGTCCGTAAGTGTCTGTGGTGGCTAATTTGGATCCACACGTCCTTCACAGTGGGGACATAGGTTTCCAGGTGGGAGTTGATTATGGTGAGGGTTTGCCAAATGTGCCATCCTCTTAGCACGTTTCTCCCTTTCGTCCTAAGTTTTAGCATCTTCAAAACCCATGACACCTTTCGTAAAGGCTGTTCTCCAATTGGAGCGCTCGTAGGCCGGTGTTTCCCAGTTGTCAATGTCTATACTACATTTTTAAAGATTTGCCTTGAGAGAGTCTTTAAACCTCTTTTGTTGACCACCAGCATTACGATTTCAATTTTTAAGTTCGGAATAGAGTAGTTGCTTTGGAAGACGATAATAAGGCATCCGCACAACATGACCAGTCCAACAAAAGTGATATTGAAGAATCATTGCTTTGACACTGGTGATCTTTGCTTTTTCCAGTACACTGGCATTAGTTTGCCTGTCTTCCCAGGTGATGAGTACATTTTTCCGGAGATACTGTTGATGGAATCTTTTGAGGAGGTGGAGATGGCATTTGTCCATGTTTCACAAGCATACAGTAAGGTTGGTAGCCAATGTCCTGCCAATAAAATTCAATTGCCATTCTAGTCAGTTGCTCTTCAAGGAAACAGGTGTGTGTGTTTGTGTGTGTGTCTTTTGTCTTGTGCAGCAAGATGTCTGGGGCCAGCCCTGAGTTGAGTCAACTCCCTGCTGCCTGAAGGCAAGGCCATTGGCCTTATGTGTGGAATCTTTGGTCTTCCAAATGTTGCCAGACTCCAACTCCCATCAGCCCCAGAAAATATGGCCAATAGCCAGGCATGATGGGACTCATGGTTCAGCACCATCTGGAGGGCCAGAAGAAGAAGAAGAAGAAGAGTTTGGATTTGATATCCCACTTTATCACTACCTGAAGGAGTCTCAAAGCGGCTAACATTCTCCTTTCCCTTCCTCCCCCACAACAAACACTCTGTGAGGTGAGTGGGGCTGAGAGACTTCAAAGAAGTGTGACTAGCTCAAGGTCACCCAGCAGATACATGTGGAGGAGCGGGGAAGCGAACCTGGTTCCCTAGATCATGAGTCTATCGCTCTTAACCACTACACCACAGCTTGCCACACCTGCTAGTAGGGATGAAGATTAAT